TTAATAGATAAGGTAATTAACCCATCTTACTTTTAATCCAGTATATATGTGACTTCTCACCTTTTGTCTATATTAAGATAGCCATTGTTTTATTTAATTTTTTTTCCTCAATAGCTCTTGGATTTATTTATCAATTACACTTGTTTTCTTCTTTCTGTTACATTAATTTCTTTTGAAAAAAAGAATCATTCCTTTCTTCTTTTTTTCAAACTAGGGTTATTTTGTTTTCTTGGTATATTGATGTTAATGCTTGTGCATTTATGGATTTATCTTGTGAGAAATAACAGATATTTTGTTTTTCTTCTCAACCAGAGCTACCTCTATTTCTTGGGAGTATATCAGGGAAAGAAGCAAGTGGGAAATGTTTTCACATGGAAGTTTTATTTGTGACTTTTGGTAATTGTGATTATTGGTCAATTGGTTAGTCAGGCACTGCTTGGGTTAGAGAGAAGAAAGAAATACAGTCTTGGTCTCAGTGAGTTCACAGTTTACTGTGGATACAGGCTTAAATGTTAACAGTCATAAAATAATACACTGTATGTTATAATGAAGATAGATACAGCAGCAGGGATGATGCTGACAACTCTCTGATGTAGGTTGATCAGAGCCCCTTCCAGGAGAGAAAGGGTACTCCTGCTGAATGTGAAGTGTTCCAGTTTGCAGGAGGAACAGTGTTGTTCACAAGTTAAAGCATATTATTGCTCTGTTCCCTTTCTCAAAGGGTATATGCACCTGTTCTTCCTTTGCCTAGAAACTCTTTATGTTCTCCTTTCAAAGTCCAATGATTCTTCTTCTCTCATCCTGAGGATCATCTAGACTCTCCTGACTAGGTCAGATTCCCTTGTCACAGGTGCTTGTAGCAGCCTATACTTTGATATAGCACTGGGCATAATTTGAAGTCTTATGTGATTATTTTATTAAAGCCTACCACTCAATTATGCACTAAATATAACAGGAACTGTGTTTGTACTTGATTCCCTTTGTGTCCTTGCTCTGAGATCACTGGCTAGCAGGTAGCAGGTGCTCATTCCATGCCTGCATGAGTGAGTGAATGCGTACAGGGGGTGATGATAGTTGTGAGGTAGATTGAATCCAGACTGGAGCCTTATAGTCCTTGACAGGAAGCTTGGCCTTTACCGCCTGTGCCCTGATGAGACATAGCATACGTAGAACATGATTAGATTTGCATTTTAGCAAGATCTACTTAGGAGCCATTTATGAGGAAGAACATTTTGGAACATGTGAGTAAAACAAATGTTGAGTAGAGTCTTAGTTCTTGTAGCTATTAACCACTAGGTATTATTCAGTGACCATTCTATTTTTAAAAATGCCTTTCTGGGCAATCTTTTTATATACTTAGGTCTATTTCTCCCCTCTGCTATGGTTTGGAATGATCTTAAAAGTTTATATCTGTGGTAGGCAAAATAATGGCTTCCAAAAGATGTTCATGATCTAATCCCTGGAACCTATGAATATGTTACATGGCAAGAGAAAATTAAGGTTGCAGATAGAATTAAGGTTATTAACTAGCTGGTTTTAAGATATGGATTATCTGGGTGAGTTTGCTGTCCTCACCAAAAAAAGAAAAAAAAAAAAAAAAAAACCAAACCAAACCAAGATACTTTAAATGGGGAAGAAGGAAGCAGAAGAGTAAGAGTCAGGTTGATATGGTATGAAAAAGACTTGACCTGACATTGCTGGTTTTGAAGTTGGAAGAGGGACAGGATCCAAGGAATGCAGGAAGCCTCTGCAAATTGTAAAAGCAACACTGTCTTCCAGAGCCTCCAGAAAGGAATGAAGCTTATCCAACACCTTAATTTTAGCCCAGTGAGACCTGTTTTGGGCTTCTGACCTCCAGAATTGTAAGATTCTCAATTTGTGTTGTTTCAAGCAATAACTTTATGGTAATTTGTTACGATAGGAATAAAAATGTAATATAATACCACTTGCTATTTTTTAATAATAATTCTATCATGAAATTAGAATGAGAGGTAATACAAACAGCTTTTGTGAAAGTTATTTGTATGAAATCTGCTTTGATCTTTGTGTATGTGTTTATGTTCTGTGGTTTAAAAAAAGAAAAAAAAAAAAGAAAAAAACCTACTTCTTGTTTGATGTTCCCTAAGATGAAAATTCACATTATGATTCTTGGTCAAAGCAAAAATAATTTTCTTTTTTTATGCTAATGGAGCTTTCCGATAAGTCACATGTGAGCCATTCTTGCTACGCCATAGAACTATGGCAATTTCTAGGTTTTGCTGTAAAAATGATTCATTTTGCTCTCCATGACAGGTTTTCCTTTGAAATATATTGCTCATGTGCTCTGGGAGATTGCTCACATATGTCTCTCTATCTGTCTGGTCTCCTGAGATGCTCTGTGTCTGTTGAAGCACTGGATTTTTATTTTATTTCACTATAAAATGTTTTATAGTTTTTCCATGGCTCCAGTTGAGCTACTTTTAAACAATTTATATTTTAGAGGGTTTAATTTAGAAAGTAAGCGATGTTGTAAACCTGTTCAGATAGATGGCAGGGGATGGCAGGCTGAAACAAGGGCAGGTGTTTCCAGCTCTTCCCCTGAGACAGCGGTTGTCAGGGAGGAGTGAGAGCTGAGGACTGGACAGGTGGGACTAGGATGTCTTCTCTTGTATCAGCTTTGCACATTGGGGATTTGTCTAATGTTTAATGGGTCTGCTCATCCCTAAGAGGCATCGGAGCTCTTAAGATTTGTTAGCTTGTGCTCTTCAGAAAGTCAAGGACTGCCACAGTGAAAGGAATGCTGAGAATGAGCTTTTACAGAAAGTTGTTTTTATTATTATTTTTAATTTAAGGCAATTTATGTCAAGAGAATTTCATGCACCTGTTGTATTTAGATTTTTTCCCCCCGTTTCTTCAGGTGGTATTATAAATTGGAAATTTTACTTTTGAGCTCTTGAAGTATATAGTCTCACACCCCCAAATCTGTAGGCTTGTACTTTGAGGGACATACCTGTGTTTTGTCCTCTTTTAGAATTGTTCACTGATAAGCCATTCATCTGTGGTGGTAATCAGAGAGAAGCAATTGAACTTGAGAAGTGCTCCTTAGGATATTCCCAGCAGTCTGTCCCACCCATGGGTTTTCATGTGTGGTCAAACCTCAGTACTTACTCCCAAATGGTCTGAGTAGTGAACCCAGAGATAACACAAGGTGATTCTACATTGAACTCATTGTTTGGATTCACCAGTGACTGCATTGTATGGAGCGCTAGACTGTCTGCCTCAGAAATTCAGCCTGTGATATTCTGTGGGAGAAAGGGATAGGAAGAGAGGGAGTTCGAGTCCACAAAGCCAAATTTTATTTCAGAGATGAAAGATCAGTATACAATTTGCCATGTCTTAATCAGTGAAAGGCTCTGCATGTTTTGAGCCATGATGTCTCCCTTGGTCCTCAGAGAAAGGAAGTTCTCTGAATGCAGTTCTGTTTTCCAGATAATCCTCTGGGAAAGTCTAGACTTATGAGAACAAGTCAGAGTTAGTATTTGGATTGCCTGTGGATGGTACACTGAGATTTTTCCCATCATTCTTCCCTTTCCCACCTACAGTGTCAGGAGATGACAGAGTCTCTGGGTGTGACTACCCTTTTCTCAGTCACCACCATGCTACACAAGAACAGACCCTTGATGGACTTTACTCTTGACCTCTTAGCAAGGATTCTGCAGGAATGTCCTATTTTCAACCATGATCACCAACCCAGAGGAGCTACGACAAAGAGACTGGGGTTGAGGTGCTACTGCATCTAGCAGGTAGCAGACAGGGATTCTACTAAATAGCCTATAATGCACAGGACAGCATCCCACAATGAAAAACTATTGACCCAAAGTGTCAATAGTGACGAGGTTGAGAAATCTTACTTTGAAACTTGGCTCAATTATTCCTTTCTGTGACTACTTCAGTCATCACTCTTGGTGACTTCAGTTTTCATGTAGATGATCCATCCTATTCTTTGACCATTCAGTACTTTAACTGTCTTTCTTCTAGTGTTCTGTTGCATCCTATACATACATCTTTTATACCATTTTCATGGACACATTCTTAACCTTGTCATCCCTCATAACTGACCTACTTTTTCAGTTCAAACATCATTTGTTGGTGGGGCATGACTCAGAATGAGAAGAAACAGCTGCAAACACCCATTAATAATTGGAAACTGGAATGTATGAAGTATGAATCCAGGAAAATAGGAAGTTGTCAAAAATGAAAAGCACCTTTACCTGCATCTTACTTAGTTGTCAGAGCCACAACTCATTAATGAGTAAAATACCCTGCTTTTATCAGTGGCAGACCAACTCTTCTACTTGTACTCTGGGCCCATCTTCTCTTTCTTTTGCAAGATCTGTATACCTGCAGTTATCTTCTCTGTTTCTTTTAATAGATCTTGTTAGGAAATATTACCAAAAACAAACACCAAACTCAACTGTCACCAAGTCGATCCCGACTCATAGTGACCCCTCCTTGGGTTTCTGAGGCAGTATCACTATGGAAGTAGATTGCCCACCCTTCCTTCTGAAGAGTGGCTGGTGGGTTTGAACTGCCAGCCTTCTGGTTATCAAATGCTGGTACTACACCACCATTAGACATTCTTTTTTTTTTTTTTTTAATTTTTATTGTGATTTGGGTGAAAGTTTACAGAGCAAATTCACTTTCATACAGCAGCTCACACATACTTTATCTCATGACATTGGCTGCAGTTTCCCACAATGCAACATCTCCCCTCCCACTTCCTCCCCATAGTAACCTCTTTCCTCTGTCCTTCCCTCCCATGTACTCCTGACCCCTGAGCTGTCTCCCTGTGCATACACAGCCCTTCTATTCTCCCATGATTGATCTCTCTAAGGAGTGTGTCTACCTAATGTAAATGTTCAGCTCATATGCCTGTCTTTTGTTTGGCTGGAAGCTGCAGGAGTGGGTTCAATTCCAGACCTGAAGGGCAGCTATTGGCTGTGGTCTCAGGGTTCTACCAGGCTCTATCCAACCAGCAAACTGGTCCCCCTTTTTTTTTATGTTTCCCAAATGATTTTGAGTTTTGTTCCACATTGTTCTTCCACTCTGTTCAGCATCTCCTACATCGATCTCCCTCTGAGTGGTTGAAGTGGTAGCCAAGCACCATATAGTTCTTCTGGTGTCATGTCATATAGGCTGAGAATCACATGGTGTACCAGTCGCTTGGACTAATTGTTTCTGTGCATCTTTGGTTTTCTTCATTCTTCATTACTCTGGACGAGGAGAGACCCATCATTGCATCTAGATGGCCGCTTACAAGCTTTTAAGATCCCTGTCACTACTCACCAAAGTAGGATGTGGAACACTGTTTTTTTGAAGTATGTTATGCCAGTTGAGCCTATTGTGCCCTGCACCTATGGTCCAGAGCCCACGGGTCCAGCAACTCACTGGGAATTGTTACAGAACATACAAATACACTTGTAGAAACATTGTCTGCCAACCCTATACATGGTAATGGGCATGCTTTCCCCTGCATTGTTGTTGTTATGTGCCATCGAATTGGACCCGACTCATAGCGACTCCTCCTTGGGTTTCAGAGGCAGTATCACTATGGAAGTAGATTGCCCTATCTTCCTTCCGAGGAGTGGCTGGTGGGTTTGAACCGCCAGCCTTCTGGTTAGCAGTCAAGTGCCTTAGGCACTATGCTACCAGAGCTCCTCTCCGCTGCATAGACATACCTAATATTTCAGCCTGTCCACCCCCATTAGACATTCTTTTAACCTCACATTCCTCTATAGCTATTACTTCATTTCTTTGATTGCTCTCATAGCTAAATTTCTTGAAAGAGTCATGTGTTAAGTTTTCTAGTGCTGCTGTAACAAATAGCACAAGTTGGTGTGTTTAAAGAACAGAAATTTATTTTCTCACAATTCAGGCAGGTAGAAGTCTGAATTCTGCGCACCAATTCTAGGGGAAAGGCTCTTTCTTTGCTGGCTCTGGGCCGAAGATTCTTGTCACTTCCAGAATTTCTTGGCTCCTTGGTAATAATATTCACTCAGATCTGTCTTCCCCCATTTGTGTCTGCTTGTCTCTTTGTTGAATCTGTTCTTTTTATAAGGTAGAAGTGATTAGATTTAGGACATACCTTATATTGATATGACCTTGTTAATCTAACAAAGAAAAACCCTTTTCTCAAACAGGATTATATCCAAAGGTATAGGGATTAGCATTCCAACACATATTTTAGGGGACACAATTCAATCCATAACAAGTTGTCCATAGGAGCTGATTTTTAGTCTTCAGCTACTTAGGTTATGTTTGCATTTCTTTACTGAGATTGTACTTATTAATGTCACTAATGACCTTCACATGGATAAATCCCATTCTCATTTCTCTGTTATTACTTTATTGACCTGAAAACAGTTCTTAACAAAATTGACAACCATCACTTTCTTGGCACCACACTCTCTAAGTTTTTCTTCCACCTCCCTAGCTGCTAACTATTTCTTAGTCTCCTTTGCTGATTCTTTAATCGGTATTTAACTTCTAAGGTTCAGAGGGCTCCAAAGCTCTATCTTGGGACCCCTTCTCTGTTTTGATTACATACTTACCCGTAATGCTTCCATGTCTGTGCCTTCAAATATCCTTATGTTAATAATTCTCCATTAACCTTCCTTTTGACAGGATCAATGAGCGCAGTGTTCACAATTTCTAGCAGTGTTCACAATTTCTAAAGGCTGATACAACCAGCTATATCACCTTGGTTCCTTAGCCTTCTGGCTTCTCTTTGGGTTGTGTCAGTAGGAGACACTGCAGGATCAAAGAGTCGAAGGAGAAAGAGGTCAAAGTGCTTATTCTCCTCTGTCCCTGTCTGCCTGGCTCCAGTTATGGAGGTGGCTGAATTCTTTTATAAGGACAACTCCCTTTGGAAGCTCCCTTCTCCTTGGTTCCCACGCTTTTTCTCCTCTAATAATACCGCTCCTCCTCACTGCTTCTTCAGACCTAGGTAACAATTGGTAAACAGTGGTAACAATTGCTGTCCTATGATGCCTCACCATCTCTGCTGGTTCTCTTAAGCTTGCCTACACATCTGTAAAGAGTCCTTTCATTAAATTATTTTCAGTTAAATTGTTTTGAGTGTGCCATCTGTTATCTGATCTGATTAGTGTGCCATCTGTTGTCTGATAAAATGTCTTTATGCTGCAGAGTTCCAAATCTTTATCTCCAACCTTGATCATTCCTTTGAACTCTACAGTCATATATCCAACTGTCTGTTTGAAATCTCCGTGTGGATGTCTTAGAAGTATCTCAAGCATTACATGACCAAATAAGCCTTTGATTCTGTGCCCATTGCCATTCCTCACATGTGCCAAATGTTTCTTTCCCAATTTCTCCCTTTCAGAAAAATATACCATCCTCCATCCCTGCAGTATAATCTGGAACCATCCTTCATTATACTCCCAACCATGGCTCAGTTTGTCTACTTTTCTCCGTCGCTGTTATACCACCATAGTCCAAGCCACAGTCGTATCTCACCTGGGTTGCTACAAAGTCTCCGTACTCGTCTTCCTGCTTCGGCTTTTATCTCCCCTATTCTTGTGCTTTGTATAGCAGCCAGATTTGATTTTCTTACAATGAAAATTAGGTCCTTCTGTTTGGCTTAAAACTTGCTGAGATTTAACATCTAATTTGAAAAAACTCAAACCTTTTTACCAGGACTTACAAACACCCATATCTTGTGTCCCTTGAGTAGTTCCTCAGTCCTATCTCATACCACTCTCTCTTCCACTCATACACATCAGCCACAGTGACCTATTTTTTTTTTTTTTTTAAACATGTTATTTCCACCCTGGAAAGTTGACACTTGTAGTTCCATCTGCCTACAATGTCTTCTTGGAAGGAAGGTTGGGCAATCTACTTCAGTAGTGATACCGCCTCAGAAACCCGAAGAGGGGTTGCTATGAGTTGGGTCCAACTCCAAGGCACATAACAACAAGCAATGTCTTCACTTCATGCTGAATTGTCATTTATATTTCAGCCTAAATCTTAACCTCCTCTGGGAGCTCTACCTGCCTTCTCAAACTGAAGTGCTCACTTAGTCCCTATCTCTCAGATTACCCAATTTTAATTCCTAATGTGGTCCTTAACACTTTTTTGAGAGATACATATGAATTTAGATAGATAAATGGGTAGATAGGTAGATATTTGTTGTTGCTGTTGTTTACTTACTTAATGAGCTTTGTGTCCACAAAAATCTTCATGAGAGCAGGCTATTCTCTGTCCAACCCAGCACGCTAAGTCTGCCCAGCACCAGTGAATTGAATATCAATGTTGTTGTTGTTATGTGCCATTGAGTTGTCTCCGACTCACAGTGACCCCTCCTTAGGTTTCCGAGGCAGTATGACTATGGAAGTAAATTCCCCAATCTTCCTTCTGAGAAGTGGCTAGTGGGTTTGAACCTCCAGCCTTCTGGTTAGCAGTTAGGTGCCTTAGGCACTATGCCATCAGAGCTCACAGAATATCAATAGTGTTGATCAAATAATGAATGAATGAACAAATGAAACATTTTTTTAGTGGTATTTTCTTTTCAAATATGTGTTATTTTCTGGTTAAAAAGTTTTGATGCAGAAAAAATTTAAAACAGTAAATAGGAAAGAAGGAAATGAAAATCACCTTTTTCCACATACAGAGGGATTTGGGTGTGCTGACTTACAACTATGCATGTGTGCACATTTGCATATAAGTAGGTTTTGATACTGCTTTATAAGTTGCCTTTACCAGAAACATTTTTCCTCTTTTCATAAACAAAATTCTACTTCATTATTACTTCCTTTTCTTTGTAAAATTTTATTGTGGTGAAAACATACACAATAAGACACTTGCCAACATAACAACTTCCACATTTACAGCTCAGGGACATTGATGACATTTTTCATATTGTGCCACCATTACTGCTATCCTTTTCCAAAATATTCTACCACCATTAGCATAAACTCAGTGCCCCATAAATAAAAGCTTCACCTGTCCCCCGTCTACTACCCCTGGTAACCACTAGTAATCTTTGACACACACACACACAAATGTGTGTATGTGTGTATGTGCATATATGTGTGTGTGTATAATTTTTTCCCCAAACCTATCTAGGAATTCCACCCCCAACCTCCAATCCCTGGTAACCAAAAAGGAAAGTTCCTATCCATGTATAAACCTTTCTTTGACTTTTTACAATAGTGGGCTAATACAATAATTGTTCTTCTGTGATTGACTTATTTTACTCAACATAATGTCTTCCAAGTTCATCCACATTACAGGAATTGCTGGAAAAATGATATTTCTATTTCCAATGTTTTAAAGAATCACCATTTGAATTGCCACCATAGTTTTATCATTTTACCATTGCGCCAGCAGTGTGTGAGAGTCCCAATCTCTCCACATCCTTGCCAACATTTGCTATTTCCTGTCTTGTTGAACTTTGCTATTAATGCTGGGGTGAGATGGTATCTCATGGTAGTTTTTATTTGCAGCTCTCTCATGGCTAGTAATCGTGAACATTTCTTCATGTGTTTGTTGGTCACCTGAATATCGTCTTTAGGGAAGTGTCTGTTCATATCTTCTGCCCATTTTTAGCAGGACTGTTTGTCTTTTTGATGTTGAGGTGTTGGAGTATCCTATAAATTTTAGAGGTAAGTCCTTCGCAGATACATCATTGCCCAATATTTTTTCCTAATCTGTAGATTCTCTTTTTACTCTTTTGGAGAAGCTTTTTGATGGACATACAAATTTAATTTTTAGAATGTCCCAATCATCTAGTTTATCTTCTGCTGTTTGTGCATCTTGGATTATGCTTGATAGTCTATTTATGGCATAAATTAGGACCCCCAAGTTTGCCCCTATTTTTTCTTTGATGAGCTTTATAGTTGTAGGTTTCACATTTAGGTCTTTGATTGATCTGGAGTTAGTTTTTGTATATGGTGTGAGGTATGGGTCTTGTTTCATTTTTCTGCAAATGGGTATCCAGTTTTGTTAGCACCATTTGTTAAAAAGACTATCTCTTCCCCATTTAATGGATTTTGGCCCTTTGTCAAAGATCAGCTAATCATAGGTGCATTGATCTATTTTTCAGTACTCAGTTCTATTCCACTTTTCTGTGTGTCTGTCGTTGTACCTATATCAGGCTGTTTTGAGAATTGTGTCTTATAGTAGGTTTTGAGATCTGGGACTGAGAGACCACTGTTTTGTTCTTCTTCAGTAGTGCCTTGCTTATCTGGAGTCTCTCCTTTCTATATAAAATTAGTGATTGGTTTTTCCATGTCTTTAAAGAATGTGGATGGAATCTAGATCAGGATTACACTGAAAGTATGGATTGCTTTGGGTAGTATGGACATTTTCACAATGTTCAATCTTCTTATCCATGAACATGGTATGTTCTTCCGTGTGTGTAGAATCCTTTTAGTTTCTTGAGGTAGTATTTTGTAGTTTTGTTTGTATAGGTCTTTTGTGTTCCTGGAAAGATTTATTCCCAAGTATTTTATCTTTTTGTTAGCTGTTGCAAGTGGTATTGATTTCCTTATATCCTTTTCAGAGACCTCTTTGCTGGTGTAGAGGAATCCAACTGATATTTGTATGTTGATCTTGTAGTCTGCCACTCTGCTAAACCTTTCAATAAGTTCCAGTAGTTTTCTTGCTGAGTCTCTTGGGTTTTCTAGGTATGGGATCATATCGTCTGCAACTAGGGATAGTTTTACTTCTTCCTTACCAATTTGGATGCTGTTGGTTTCCCTTTCTTGCCTTGTTGCCCTGAATAGGACTCCCAGTATGATGTTGAGTAGATGAGGAGACAGAGGATATCCATGTCTGGTTCCAATTAGCAAGGGGATTGCTTTCAGGCTCTCTCCATTGAGAATAACATTCACTATTGGTTTTGCATATATGTGCTTTGTTATGTTGAGGAATTTCCCTTCTATTGCTATTTTTCTGAGAGTTTGATTTAAAAAAAAAATCAGGAATGGCTCTTGGATTTTATCAGATGCCTTTTCTGCATTTATTGATAAGATCATGTTACTATTTTCCTATATTTTACTTATGTGATCGATTACTTTGATTGTTTTTTCTAATGTTGAACCATCCTTCCATACCTGGTATGAATCCCGCTTGGTTATGATGTATTATTTTTTTGATATGGTGTTGGAGTCTATTGGCTAGGATTGTGTTGGAGATTTTTGCATCTATATTCCTGGGGCATATTGGTCTGTAGTTTTCCTGTTTAATGGTGTCTTTGCCTGGTTTTGGTATCAGTATTATGCTTGCTTCATAAAATGAATTTGGAGATTCCATCCTTTTCTATGTTCTGGAATAGTTTGAGTAGGGCTGGTGTCAGCTCTTCTCTGAACATTCAGTAGAAAACCATCTGTTCTGGTTACCTGGTGCTGCTCTTACAAGAATATACCACAAATGGGATGGCTTAAACAAACAGGAATTTATTTTCTTAAAATTTGGAGACTTTAAGTCTGAGTTCAAAGTGTCAGGCTCTAGGGGCTGGGTGAAAGCCCTTCAGCCTTGGGCTTCTGCTCTGCCTCTAACTCCCAGCCCACCGGAGCTAGAGGCTTTTCTTCACTGAGACAGCTGGTGGCTGCTGAGGCTGCCAAGCCCAAGATTGACTAAGTAAAAAGTCACAGTCCCGATATTACCAAATCACGTGGCAGGGTATTAATTCAACTCCATTTTAAGTCCTAAGGTCGGCAGAGCATGACAGGCTGCTGAACAACGACATGGCTACATGCAGGGTTCAAACATGCCATAAGCTAGAGACCATTCCCAAAGCTGCTTCTTATGTATGGGAAGCAGACCACATACCCAAAGCAGCTACTCAGCTGCTTGTGGTTGATCCCACCATAGAGTTGATTGCCAGTCTCATCATGGGGAATAACTACCAC